AAACCCAACTGATCCATGCGTCTCTCTGTATCCTGGAGCCAATCCTCAGCTTCAGTAGGAGCTCCACCAATCTGTCCCCCAAAAGTTCTAACTCCATTGGCAATCAAAGTCTGTGAAATAGGAAACTCTGATACAACGCCAGTAGCTCTGACTGCTCCCTGTATCAACTGCAGAAATTATCTACCAAAATTCTCATCCAAAGCAACTCCGGTAGACTCTGACTCAATATCGGTCGCTCCTATGATCGGTGTAGTCATGCCAATACCAGCGGTAAGAGGCAGATTCGTTGGGGTCGTAGGAGCATGATCACTTATCGGAGGTAGGGGATCTACTCGTATCTCATCGATCGGGTCTACAAATCTAGCCACTCGACCTCGTCCACGGTTAGTTCGACGACCACGTCTAGCACTCATTTTTTTTTTGGTGGATCTCGAGTTTACTACAGGAGACAAAACTTAGGGTTAGACAAACACTTGGAGTCTCGAACACAGTTAAAATCTTAATAACTTGTGACATGGCCTTAGTAACTTGTTTTGTAAAATATTTCTAAAACCGTATTTTCAATGTGGACTCATACACAGTCCGAGGGTTAAAAACCAAAAGCTCTGATACCAATAAATGTAACCCCCTAGACCCGGCCTATGCGTTTCGACTAAGTCTAGTGGATCACATTATGATTCTTAAAGACATTTTCTAAAACCGTTATTCAATCAATGTAAAATCACATATAAATATCATGAAATAAATTATACCATCAAAACCCAACTTGTAAATATAATACCAATAAGTAATAAACTAATTTAAAACAGGTCTTCAAAATCAAAATCACAATAAACCGAACAGTAATAGCAAAAGTGTCATCATCCTAAAATACGATACTTTAAAATAAGGTCCATGTCACCAAAATAAAGTCAACTAGCAAGATAAAACATTACAATCAGATATACTTTAAGAGATATGTTGATCCTCCAAGTGCTCGAACCGATGTATCTAACCAACAGTATCTGAAAGGGGAAAAACATTTTTGAAAGGTGAGCTAGGCTCAGTATATCCCAATATTACCTTAAAATCACAATAGGTACATTAAACAAATCATAGTCCAGTAAATCTCATAAATTCATAAAAGAGTTTAACTTTTGAAAATCATAGTTTAAACTCTTTTCTTGTACACCATCAGTAATTTCCAAAACTATTTTCCATATAGCTTACTCTAAGCACACAGTAAAAAGAAAGCCAACCTAAGGATAAGCTTTATAGCTTGTATCTTTAAGCCCGTAAGTCCAAGTCTATATAGCTTACCCTAAGCACATAGCAAGGGAAGCCAACCTAATGTATCTTGGGGCCCCAAGAGTCACATTAGGCCCATTCTGTTTATTAGCTTGATCAGAGCTATACTATTGTAATTCAATCCAAAAGTTCAATTGCACCGTGACACAAATTCCATAAATCATCACATTAAATTGGTGCATCAATAAAACAGTAAGCAAAGAACTCAGTGTACCTCTTATTAAAACCAATAAAATAGTTCAGTAATAATTAGGGAACACACCTCGATAATAGGTTCAAATAGTAGATCTACTAATTGCTGGTTCACCACGCTCTACTACAGTTTTTGAACGGGTGAATACTGGCATACGTGGTTTAACTGATCTAGAAGAGCTGGTTCGAGCTGTCGAACGATCCAGAGAGTCTCTTGTACAAAGATCGGTTCAACTTTTTGAATGGCGGAGAGCTCAATTTTAACTCGGTCGAATCTTTGACTGCTCCACCTCCTCACGCGCCGCCGTCGACGGAGACCAAGGTTGACACTGACGGACTCGAAACGACACAAGGAACACGATGGTGCGGGAGGTGTCGAAAACCGATCAACGATCGGAGATGAATTTAAGATTTTCTCGGCGGTAGTGCTAAAAAACGTCGAGACTTTGACTCGAAATTCACATCGTTTGGCAACGTTTCGCTATAATTGATTTACTGGGTTTTGTTCACGGGTCGAAGATGAACACGACGGTGGTTTCAATTTTACGATTGGAGGTCGAACGGATTCGGAAACGGGCTTGGAAGTAAGGGTACAAGAGGAGGAAATTTGAGCAATTATCATTTGTGTTTTCTGGTTTAAAACCAGAAAACACGCTTATAACACCAATCCTGCCGATAGTTTTAGGGGAAATTCAGGGCTTGGTCCCTGAATTTCCTTTACTTCAAAAATGGCCTACAAGTTTTCATAAATTTTAATTTAGTCACTTAATTTCCCCCAATTACACCAATTTAAATTGTTTTTTTTCCTCGGGTTGTTACATAGAGTTTCTTTTAGGTGCTGGAAACAATGTAACAAATAAGATTAAAACAAGATAAAGAAAAGATAAAGGAATTGCAAATAAAATAAGATAACCAAGAAATCAAAAGATCTCCCTTATGAAGGTGAACGGTAAAGATGATTGATGACGTGGATGGATATATGGAAATTCAATGGATAATGTCCTATCGAGCCCTCCTAGTCGCAATGAAAAGGATAACACGATAATATGGCTCTAACCAACCCTCCTAGTCGCAACGAAAAGGCAAATTGGAGTGTGAAGATTAATCTCCCTCACAAGAACTTGAAAGAACTCAAGGAGAAGAAGCTTCGAAGGAACAAGGCAATCAGCACTTGAAAAAACGAACTCTCGTTGTATTATTAATCAAAGAAATCTTCATTACAAAGTTGACTTAAGCCTCCTTTATATAGGGGCTGAGTTCTAAAGGTCCTAAATAACTAATGAATAAAATAATAATAAACTAAACATGTCTTAACTCTAATTCCTAATAAAATAATAATAACTAAAAATAATATTTTAACCCAACCTTAATTCCTAATAAAATAATAAATCTGATCCTAAAAGATAATTCATCATCTATATTAAATTATATCACAAATAATCAATATAAATATTGAAAATTCGTAATATTTACAAAATCCCGTATTAATCCCGTGTAGGATTTTCTGCATGCACTGCCTTCAGTAAAATGGTCATATCTTGAGTTTCCGATATCGGATTGATGCGATTCAAGAACCATTGGAAAGATAAGAGACAGTAGGTTGTATCTCCAGAAGACATGTTGACCAAATAAGATCAGGATACCATTCAAAAAGTTGTCGCAAGTCTGCCACTGTTCTGATCTTCTTTTCCAAGGCTTGGACGAGTGGATCATTTGGAAGAGTCATTACTTCTTCCTTTGATGTGAGCCTTGTGATGCATGTATCATCCTCCCTTTCTTCAAAAAGATTCTTCCTCGAATCTAAAACATTAAAGGGAGCAATATTAGAATCGTTTAATGATTCATTCACATTATGCTTACCGAATAGATATGCTTTGAATCTTCGAGACTTTGTTCTTCTAATAGGTTCGAGTAGAAACATTAGTCCAAAGAAGCATGTATTATGGACTCTGGTGCATGTATCAAGAACATTAGAAACAGTAATAGTTAGGGTTATATAAAGCTAACCTTGTTTGATGCTCAGGAAACAGCCAGGACACCCGAGTTCCTCTTAGCAGAATTATGACAGTAGGTGGATATCCAAGTTAGTGCCAAGGCACTTAGCAACCGACTGGGAGGGTAAAGAAAAAGGAAGAAGAAGAAGAAATGAAACTATGAGCTTAATATCAGCTTCCTATTTCCACTTCCAAACACAATTGATTTCTTTAACATAGCTTGCCTGGTTCATCATGAATTTTTAGGTTACGTTGAGTTAATTGTCACTATTTTCTTGTCTTGAAAATTTTATGTAATAAATGTAATTATTTCTTCTGTGCGTGACTTAATTGGAGAACTGTTTAATTGATAAAAGATGTATATTAATACTAAAATTTACATGCATACTCCATAAAAAAAAAGTACATGCATACTCTAGATTATTTAATGCTGATATTTAAATAGGAAATCTTTCATTGTGATTCATAATAATCCATGCTCTTGAATTTGACATAAAACTAGTCCTCAAGAACGCCGGTAATGGAATTGTATTTCCTTATTTTAGTTAGGGGTGTTTAAAAATAGTCAACTTGAATTATTTGACCCGTCGACCTGCCAATTCGATATAAAATTATTGGGTATTTCAAAAGCAAGTACTTGATTTTGTTGGTTGAGTACCCTATCCGTTTTTTTTTTACGGTTTTTGGATTGGGCCGGATCACAAAATTACCCTTAACCGGGTACCCACGACCCGCCAACCCGGTTCTTTTTTTTGTTTTATTATTACTTTATTTTAAATTCAATTTTTTATTTCTAATTTCAAATTATTTTACCCTAACATTTCAAAATTCTATTTATTCAATTATTTCACCTTAATATTTAAATTATTTCTTTTAATCTTAAATTATTTTAAACATACTTGTAATTTTATAATTTTATTTTATTTTTATATTTTTAAATTTTACTTTTCTATTAATAATTTATAAATTTTATGTTTATGTTATGTGTTATAAACTTTTAAGTTTTAATTTTTGTTTTTTATATGGATTTTTCTAAAAAATAATATAAGTTAAAAAGAATTAAATAAAACATTTAACCGGTACTCGTGATCCGAAAATGTGGGTATCCGAGTTTTATTGATACCTGACTTAAGGGTATCCTCTTCATATGGGTCGAGTCATAGACCGAATTTTTGTGACTCGAAAATCCTGAATACCCAATATTTAAGGTACCAGAAAATACGAGTAACCGGATTTGAACGCCCTATTTTTAGCTGCCTATACACGAGTAAAAAAGAAAGGAGCTAAATATACTTGTCTATGTGTATACATGAATCAAATTTCATGAAATTAACCTGATCACATAAAGGACAGTAGCAACAATCATCACAATATGTCACATGCACATCGCCGGAACTAAAAATAACTACCGATTCGACCTAGTTGTGGAGGACTGTTTATTATTTGTATTCCAGCCATATTTAGAGTGCATCGGAGACCGATTATCGTTAGCCTTCGACTTGATTTGCTACCTTTATTACTAGCTTTTGAATTCCTTTGATGTCATTGATCTTTGTAGTGTCTCCAACACCTCTCCATGGATGGACGGCTTCTGGGATCAGATTTCATACACTTTAAAATCTCACCGGCTTGCAATGTAGCTTTGATTGGGTATTTTTCTTCTAGCTTTGGGTCCATTATTTTCTTCAACTTTCTCTTCTCTGTCAATGAATGTTCGGCCCATTCTACCAAATTGTGCTCGCCACTGGGTCGATTTGTATCCAGGGCCCTTAGGCCCGTTAACATCTCCAACAACACAACTCCGAAACCATACACATCACTCTTAACATACAAATGACCTACATTATTTTTGTACATACTAATGCAAGTTATAATTTGTACATACAATTTGTTAATCATAATGAAAAATATATATCTAATATTTGATTGATAGTCACTTTAAGTCTTTATTCTTTCTTTCAGAGCATTTTGATATCAATATTTCATTTTGGGATAAAAAAACCCCTCCTTTAATAGAAATTGTAAGTCAAATGAAAGGTTGGAGGCTACGATGCTATGAAGAAAAAAAAAATGATTATTTTAGTCAACGTTAGAGATTTTTTTTTACTTTAAAATGAATTATTGAAGCCAAAATAATCTAAAAGAGAATAAAAACTAAAAAAAATTATATAATCAAGCTTTGAAAATATATTTTTGGCGTTATATTGATTCTATAGTGCAAGAGAGGAGGTGAGCATTTAAAAAGAAAGATGGGTAAATTACCTGTGGCAACATATTCAGGAGCAGCATAACCATATGTTCCCATAACCCGTGTAGTGACATGCGAATTGCCATCTATAGGGCCCAACTTTGCCAAGCCAAAATCCGAAAGTTTGGCGTTGTAGTCCTGGAACACTCTCAAATCAACTTGTTAGTACAATCAGTTATCAATAGTTTAATAAAATTGAGTAGATGTTACTGTGTAACAACTTCAAAATGTTAAAAACAAAAACTTAGAGAAAGCTAAAACGGAGAGGGTGGGTTTGAATATACCCCATCCAGTAAAATATTGGAGGCTTTGAAGTCCCTGTATATAACACACTTCTCTGATGTGTGCAAAAAGGTTAAGCCTTGGGCAGCCCCCATGGCTATTTTAAGCCGAGTTCCCCATGTAAGAGGCTCTGCTCCTCCTGCTGCAGTTTTAGTTATATATGTATAAGAGAACAGCTTTAACTTTCTGCAATCTCTCAAAACAAAGACAAAGAAGCAGTGTTTTGTGCCTTAAATGACATACATCTGAAGAGGTGGTTTTCCAAGCTTCCCTTTTGCATGTATTCGTAGACAAGGAGGAACTGGTTCTCCTCCCAACAGTATCCCAACAACTTTACTAGGTTTGGATGGCTGAACTTTCCCAAAAATTTCACCTCTGCCTGTCCTCACCCAAAATCTACATCATTTTCAAACCCAAAACCTCCTGGATTTCAAATTGAGTTATAAATTTTACGAGACCCAAAATGCAATTCTCCTTATAATCTTATATTTTTTAAAAAATAATTAAATTATTTCTTTTTATTTTACTAGTAGGGGTGAGTACTCGATCAAGTTGAGTCGACTCGTGTTTAAAAATTCAAGTTATCAGAGTATATTAGTCATATTTTATAACTCAGACTTTATTTATATATTTTTTGAGTCGAGTCGAGTTATTCAAATTTTTGTTTAGATTAAATTGTAAATATTTATAATGTTATTATACTAATTGATTATAGCTTAAACAACTTTTTATAACCATATATATATCATATATATTTCTTCATATTTTTTCGAATGTGATATACATATATCATGCAGAGTTGAGGAATTCGACTCAAAGTTGAAAATCAATCCACTAATTATTAAATATTTTGAGTTATTTGAGTCATATTTTATAATTCAACTCAAATTTGATTTTCTAGTTGAATTGAGTTAAGTCGAGTCAAGTATTTTAACATCGAATCATGTCAAAAATTGCTATTTTTCAAGTCCTATCGAGTTTTGTTCACCGTTGTTTAAGAGTGCCAAAATACAATTTTATTATATACTAATTTATAGGGTAAACAACAAGATTGATAACTTTCGTTTAAGTTTTGTACATTTTTCTCACTGAATTCAAAATATATAATATGTGATCATTTTCGTTTTTAGTTCATTAAGATGTGATCATGTTCGTTATTATTTTATTAAGATATGGTCACTTATCTCATTGACTTTTAAATGTTTAGTCAATGCAAATTTAACTGTCGTTAGTGAGAAAATTAAACAAAAGTGATCATGTCTTAATTAAATAAAAAAATGGCTAAATATTATGTTTGATAAATTTAGTGAGGAAAAGTGTTCAACATTAAAAATGAAAGTGATTAATCTTGTAGAATACCCTAATTTATAATTCTATACTTTCTAGGGACTTATGAACGATTTAGTCACCCTAAAACTTTCATAAATTAAAGTTAATAAAATTCCAACTATCTTGCATTAAGAAAATACTAAATTTTGATAAGACAATAATTATGCTCCAATACATTATATATAAAAGGATTATAGAGATGTTAGGTCAACTCAAAGAAAATCAGGCCAAATTGTTAATATTATTTCCGAAATGTTGCCAGAAAAGACTGAACATATATAAGTATATAAAAAAAACGTACGGCACCGTATATTTGGGAAGACTCCTGGCCGTAGTTTATACTTGTGAGTTATGACTCTTCATTCATCTTTATGAACATTTTTTATTTGATTACTCATATTTTATGATGTAATAAACTATTTTGGTTAAATCTACCACAAGTCATTGTATTATAACAAAATATTTATTTTAGTCCTACTATATACGGAGATATTTTAGTCAATGTAAATTTGAAAAGTAAAAATGTTTTTTTATACAAGTAAAATTTTATTCATCCAAAAGAGAGCAGACTAGCTGCTACAAGAAACAAAACAACCCCTAGACAATTAAATCAAGCCCCAATCTATGCACAATTGGCTATTTACATCATCAAACTTATCCATGCAACATCTATACAATTTAATCTTCACAACCTTTTATTTTACTTACAATAGTATCAATCGAACGAATCAAACCTCTAAAATGCCTATGATTATGTTCCTCCCAAATGAAGTACACAAATCTAGTCTAAGCTAACTTAAGGATACGCACTAAAAGAGATTCACCTTTTAAATTCACAACCATCCATCGAATTCCTTCATCCCAACAATGTAGCTCCTGTCGAAGCCCACAAGAGTGCATGATAGCACCCCACACTTCCCTCGCTTAGGCACAATCAGAGAAGAGATGATTACCTCTCAGAACAACACATCCCACACACATTATCTATAACCACTCCAAACCGTACAAGTCTATCCTTGGTAGGTAATCTGTCAAGAATGGCCATCCATGAAATAAAAGAAGCTTTGAGATATGAGGAACCAAACAAGGCGATGCCAATTAACCTTCTCCTTCCTGTCTCGAATTCTTCCCATATCCAACTGCCTTTTATTTGAGTCCAACTGACATTAGTGTAAAACAACCTCCTGGCCTCATCACACAATTTAAGCAGCTTACTCAGAATCCAACTAAAATGAGCCTTACACTCAACATTCCAATAATCTACATATCTAAAATAGTATTCTTTTACCCAGGCAATCCAAAGTGAGCCTTCACATGCCAAAATGTTCTCGACAAGCAGCAGACAACATGCTCTGCTCCAGACAACAAGGCTTCTTAACCCCAAACCTCTCTTTGATTTCAAAGAACAGACCTGGCTCCAGCTCACTCGAGTCCTCTAGCAGAGGTGTCACTTCATTTCCAAAATAATCGCATACATAGCCTCTCAATGTCCCTGATGGCCCCTTTAGGGAGAATGAGTTGCCTGCTCCAGTAGCTAAAGATACTGAACAAAACAATTTTAACAAGCTGTAATCTTCCACCAAAACTCAACTTCTTACTAGACCATTGATTGAGCTTATCTTTGATTTTTACCAGCAAAGCTGAGCAATCCTTCCCTGTAAGCTTTTGGGTAACCAATGGTACCCCAAGGTACCTAACAGGGAGTTGCCCCACCCTAAACCTAGTTTCAGTCTGAATCTGCTCAAGTACATGTTCAATCAATCCACAAGCATAAAGCTCAGTTTTCAGGGCATTTAGTCTAAGTCTAGAGAGATCAGAAAAAACCTCTAATGTGCTCAGAACCCCCATCACAGCATCAAGAGACCCATGGCAACCAGCAAATCATCCGTAAAAAAAAGATGGGTAAGAGAGACTCTCTTACACTTAGGATGATATTTAAATATTCCTTTGTTAGCAGAAGCATCCAACAAGGAAGAAACATTCATTACAATGATAAAAAGGTAAGAAGATAATGAATCTCCTTGCCTAACCCCTCTAGCACCCTTAAAATACTCCACCAAACTTCTATTCAAAGAAACTGAGTATTTGGGGGTAGTTACACAGATCCTTATCCAATAAAAAAACCACTAGGAAGCCTTATAGCCTCCAGGACAGCCAGCAAAAAATCCTAGTTAACAGAATCAAATGCCTTTTGCAGGTCAATCTTAATAGCACATCTAGGTGAAAGACTCCTCCTAGAATAGCCTTTAACTATCTCCTGAGCAAGCAGTGTGTTGTCAACTATATTCCTACCTTTAACAAAGGTTGTCTGGCTAGCAGAGATCATACCAGGAAAGATGCAAGAAAGTCTAGTGGTAATGATTCTGGTAATGGTTTTATAAACCACAGAGCAACAAGAAATTGGCCTAAAATCCTTTGCCAAACAAGCATTCAAAGACTTAGGAACTAAGACAATGGTTGTAGCATTAAAAGTAGACAATAAGAAGGAAGATTGGAAGAAGTACCTCACAGCAACCAAAAAATGTCTTCCAACGACATCCCAAACAGCCTTGAAGAACCAAGAAGTGTACCCATCAGGGCCAGGACTTTTTTTATTTCCTTGCCTAAGCAAAGCTTCTTTAATTTCTCTGTCAGTTACCTCTTTTGTAAGCATCTCACCAGCCCCCTTAAGCAAGAAATAGTTTAGCAAGGTTTTCAAACACTCCACTGAACAACCCTGAAGTAGAGTCAGTAGTACCAATGAGGTTAATGAAAAAATTCACTAACTCAGCACCATATCATCAAAGGAATCAAAGGAGTCAAAGTGTTGTCCATTCTCACTCTTTATTACTTTAATGGTATTCCTCTTCTTGTTGGATTCAACCCTCTGATGGAATCTAGTATTTATATCCCCTTCTTTTAGCCAGTGCACCTTGGCCTTTTTGCCTATAAAACTCAGATTCAGCAACTTCCAGATTCACCAGCTCTGCATGGATTTATTTTTCCTCATCTAGTCTCATTTGATCAACTTGAGTAAGATTGAAGATTTGAATCTTTTGAAGCTCAACCCTCTTACTAAGCACTTTGCTAGATATGTCAGAAAAATGCTCCTTATTAAGTTCTTTTAACCTAGGCTTAAGTCTTTTCAACTTTATAAACAAACAATGCATAGGGTTTCCTTCACAATGCTCCATCCAAGAATCTTTATCAATTCTCAAAAAATTCCCATTTGAAGTCCAGTAGTTGAAAATTTTGAAAGGCTTAGGCCTCTTAGCCATAACATCCTTCTGAGTCCATACAACACCAAGGCAGTGACCAGAAACTCCCTGTGCCTTAAGACTCTGTCCAATTTGCGAGCCAAATAAGCACACTCTTGTCTATTAGACCAAGTGAAGAGAAACCCAAGGAAATGGTGATCTATAAGATCCAAATTCTCTAAACAACCTTGAAACTCCTCCATATCAGAAGAACTATGCATCCCCAAAATTTCAAAATCAGAGTTTTCATCAGCTCTAGCTATAACATTGAAATCTCCACCAATCAACCAAGAAGAAGAGCCTATCTCACCCTCCAAATCCTTTAAATGATCTCAAAGCCCTCTTCTAGTCAAACTATTATTACTGCCACAGACAGCAGTGACCACTGTCCTATGACCATTGATAACTCCTACAATAGAGAGAGCTTGATCACTACCCTTCAAAACAGTAAAAGCTAATTGTTTCTTCCATAAAATCATAATTAGCAACCAAGTTCCAGTCAATAGGAAAAGCAGTGAAGAATTTAGAAGAGTTAATTCTTCTAATTCGAGATTTCATAAGGCAAACTACATCAACTCCTAAATTTTCTAACCTCTTTAACACCTTTTACTACTTAAGAGGGCTATTGATCCCCTTTATATTCCAAAAACTAATAATCATCAAAGAGGGATAGGAGCAGCACCACTACCAACACCCACATTCAGCGCATTACCTTTGGCTCTTTCTACATGATCTTTCTTTTTTGCCTTGATTTCATTGAGTAACACAACAACCCCCAAGGAGGTCACCCGAGTTTTCCTAGGACTATCTATAGCACTACCACCTGCCAAAGATTCCAATTTACTGGAAGAGCCAACATTATCTTTTTTTTCCTACCCCTAATCTTCTTCTTTTGGATCATAGAATCCTATAAAGATGGAAAATTCACCACCAGAACTGGCATCCTCTTGTAGCACTTTTAAGACTACTTCCTCAACTACTTTAGAGTTGATATTTCCATCAGAATCAACTCCCTTTAGTGCTTCAGTAAGATCGACCATTTCTATGCTGGAGTCCTGCCTAGAAACTCCAACATTCACATCTCCCTGCACATCAGCACCACTACCCTCTTACAAGGCGAACACAATAGTCTCCTTAGCAATACCCACCTGCAGCCCTGAATTCACCTTTATCTCATCATTAGTATTGCTCACATTGCCTGAAGAGCATGTTGAACAGTTAGGTTTCTCAAAGGTTGCATTATCATTCACATTCAACTTCTCCTTATCACAAAGCTCAGATGAACTAATAATCTCTTTCTTTCTCCAAATCTGAACCTTCTCACTCTTCGATGAAGTCTTCTTAACCTCTACACACATTTTAATATGATGGCCAAAGGTTTTTACACTTAACACAATATTTTGGCAGCCAAGGTACATACACTTTGACTCTCACAGTGGATCCATCGTTTAAAGCTACATGAATCACATAAGGAAGCTCAGTCTCAGCTTCAATTTCCACACACACTTTAGCAAATTCAAGTCTCTCCTTTGAAGCAGTAACTGAATCCATATACAGAGGGTTACCCAAAACACTAGCAATATAACTGAGTCCCTTTTTAGAATAAAGTTCCAGAGGAACATTATACAGCTGCACCCAAATTGGCATGTAAGACAAGTCGAAATCCAACTTCTGTATACAAGGTTCCCATTTTCTCAACACCATAGGCTTATTATAAACATGCCAAGGCCCATTCTCGAGTACCCAATCTCTCAATATTGCATTCAAAAATGAGAAAACGTAAAGGTTGGATCCAGCTAAACTGACATTTACTGGTGAGGACTTCCCCCAAAGCATTCTAATAATCCGCTGCATCGATCCAAAGTTCAGAGCAACACCAATGAACTGACCCACTACCGCATGATTCCACTCAGCAATCCCTTCCTCAAACATAGTCGACGAAGGCTTAATAGTAGCCACACCATCCAAAATCTACGGGGGAAAGAAATCAAGGGATTGTTCTTCCGCTCCCGCAAATAATTTCCTCCAATCAAGGTTCAATAGCTTCAAATCCATACAACTAACTAAAAAAGCAAACCAGAAACCCCCCAAAATTAACAGACCCAAAGCAAAATTAGCAACGAAAAAGAATAGCTAAGAACACATTAGTCTTGCTAACGTGCGCCCAGAGAAACCCCATCCTCTTGCTATGTGACTTCCAAGGCTTTATATTTAGTTTTAGGAATTTTAAACGATTTTTTTAGGATTTTCCTTTTAAAGTTAAAATGTTAGTTCAAAATGTTAAAACTATTATTAGTTTACTTTAATAATTTGGTTTTCGCATTATTAATGTCACTATCAGGAATTTATTAAAATGGGGTAAACAAAATAAAGGAAGTCTAATAATATCAATTAATGAATGATCTCATAATAATATTTAACTTTTTTCAATTAGGGAGGCCCAATAGAACTTGTTTTATATATTTCCTAAAATATATATATTTAATATTAATAAACTTTTAAAACAAATTGGCGGGGGAAACTCTTGACTCCTACGAAGTTCCGCCCCCGGACATTATTAATTTTAAAATTAAGTAAAGTAATGTTTTAAAGAAAGTGTAATTTAATCTCTATACATTTCGAAAGTGAATGAACAAAAATTATATAAGTCCATGAATTTTCTTACTAGGAAAAAATATTAAATTAGAAAAATAAAGACTAAAGAATTCATAACATTTTCTTCTTTTTTTTGTTGAAAATTTATTAAAATATAAAATAGAAAATTTGAAAAAATATAAAAATAATTATTAGAAAAACAAAAACATTCAATGAAAAAGAAAATAAAAAATTACTTATGCATTACAGTAGTCATAAGAACACAAAATACAATTTTAAATTAAATTCCGAAAACGTTTAATTGATAAAAAACGAACAATAATAAATATGGAGTTTAAAAATTTAGATTGAGGAATAAGAATTTAATTGAAAATTCATATAATTTTTTTTAAATATATGTTTTGTTAACAAAACGGATTAACATGATTCATATTATTTTCATTTGTTCACTTTCAAAATATATGGAAGATATAATTCGGCGAGAAACGAATAGTGTATCTCACGCTCTTGCACATTATGCTACTATATCGCCTACGCCTTAAAATTTTCAATCTATTCTAGCGAATTGTATTACTGCAGTTATTACTCCCGACTCTATGTTTAGTTTCAAAAATAAAAAGAAAACTAAAAAATTTTATAATAGAGAACTAAATGAAATTTTTACATACTATAAAGATTTGTTGTAGACTTTAATAAATTATTTTTAAAAAATATTTAAAATATTTTTAAATGTGGTGGTAGTAATATTTTTTTATTAGGCTAAGGTGATTACAAAATAAGTATATGTTCTAAATACTTTCAACAATTGATAATGAACGCTCAATCATCCTATTGTAGCCATTTGTGCTCAAACTCATGATCTCTAAGAACAACAACGATTCTTTTAACTACTGTAAGTTGGTTCATGCGTGGTGGTAGTAATATTATAACATTATTATTAAGTGTAGAGAACATGTAATATATTTCTTTAAATTAATTTAATTTGCTTAGGAAGCAAATTATTTAATTAAAAAAAAGGAAAAAGAAGAGAAATACCTGCCATTCTTGCAAGCCTTGAGAGCTATCGGGATTTGATTTCTTGACGGCGACCGCCATGCCAACGCCAACTTTTGAAGGAGCATAGGTTTTCTCATCCACCCAACCTTTGAATACTCTACCGAAACCGCCCTCACCTAGTACCGTAGCCGGCTTGAAATTTCTGGTGGCAGCCTTGAGTTCTGCCAGAGTAAATATTTTCAAGGTGGTGCTCATCAGATTCTTTCCGCTAGCGGGCACGGCCGCCTTTTCACCCTCCTTGCTTCTTCCTTCAGAGCCACCTCTCTCTTTGTTCGTTGTGGGCGGCGGCGATCCATTTTGTTTGCCGACTTTTAGTTTCGACGTACCCGGGCTGGATGGCTTTACGGTGGACTGGCTATGGTGATCAACTTGTTGAGTTCCAAAGCAGTTCCCCATAACTGATATAATAACAACTGTTTGTCTTTATGTTTGCAGTTTCGATAAATTTTCTTTGGAAAAGCAGAATTAGATATAGGAAAGGAGATGAGTATTGACTTTTTTTTGTTATGTTTATTTCCAAGTTCGAGGAAAAGAAAAGAAAGAGCGAGGAAGCAACCGGCTGTATCAACCTCCCTTTTATACTCCACTCTAGTTTCTCGCCCTCTAGATATGGCTGCAAATAAGACTAGGTATATTATAAATTGTCTTGTTTAAGTTTAATTTGATTAAGTTTAGTTAATATTTAACTTGAAAAGATTTAATTTAAAATTTGAACTTAATTTTAATTTTAAATGAATTGAAGCTAGTTATTTAATAAATGATTCAAAAGTTCAAGAGCAATTCAAAAGAATAATATATTAAAATTTTAATTTTTTAATTAAATTATCATTAATATTAATATTTATATATTTTTGTTTTTCAAAAAGAACTATAGCATACGATTTTCATATGTTCAAGTTCTTGTTCAAGTTCTTGTTCAAGTTTGAGCTTGAATCGAGCTCCAATTCAAGCTTCAATTGAGTTAAATTTGTAATGTTTTGAGTTCATATTTTTCGAATTTGAGTTAAATTTAATTTTTTATTTTGTGTTTGAGTCAAACTTGATAATTTTAAACTCATGAGTTTTAGAATTAAATCGAACTTAATTTTAAATTTTTTGAGTCAAGTCTGAATCAACAATACTCAAGCTCGGTTGATTTTATTTACAACCCATCTCTAAATGTGCTAAATCATTGAACCAAAAGAATTATAAAATGTTTTTTTAGGCTAAAGGTCAAAACACCCTTATAAAAAGTCAAAAAGAAAAACAGTCTATTCATTAGGAAAAAATAATTTAAACATCGAGTAAAAAGTAATTATTTATATTTAAATTTAAGAATATGTATAAACCTGTTTATATTAATATATAAATCTATACATTAATAGTGTATTGATGCAAAGCCTGCTAAAGGATTCATATGCTCCAACATTAGAAAATTAAAGAAACTGGAAAAAAAAAAAGGAAGAAGAAGTCAACTGCAAATTGGGGCCAAAGCCTTGAGATTTCTGGGTGGGCCCTATCATTGGCTAATTCATCATTAATATTTAATTCCTTCATTAACACAGAAACTAATGATCCATTCATTGTATTTCTCAACTAAACTCACCAAACGTCTTCTTTCTCCAATAAAGTTGTATATTGCTTTCACAAGGGTGGGAAAACACTTAAGATTGATGTTGAAATTTAATATCAATTAAGATTAAGATAATTATTTTATTTCTCATATTCATATAATAAATTTATCTTCGTTGAATTAGATAATAAATAAGTAAATTTTTAGAAAAAAATATATTGCCCCAATTGAGTATTTATTTAAAAATTATGATTAAATAAAATCATATATATGAAACTTGATTATAGAAATTTTAAAATCATGATTTAGTTAAGATGTCTTTTAAATTTTAAAGATCTACTTGTTCGTATGCTTTTTTTAATAAAAATTAAGTTGAGATAACATTTCATTCAAAAACTTACTTGACATCATCTAATTCTACAGTACCAAATTATTATATAAATCTTAGATTTATTCTTGCTTTAATTTCCACCCTATAATTTGTATCCAAAATTAATTTAATTTATATTTAAATATATTTTATTTAATAATTAATCTTGTTTATACTTGAAAACATTTAATAATGATATAACTTGCATTGTATATTGTATTGAGTAATTTAATTGTTGCATATGAATTTATTTCTCATATTTTTGTTGTATAAAAAGTATAATTTTAATATCATTTTTTTACCATAATCAATCTTCTATTTTTATCTAATAATTCTAAAGTAATATATTTTTTAAATTTTATATTGTATAATTAAATCTTTTGTCTATATAAATATATTGGATAGTATTGTGATTATATAGGAATGAGGACAACGGAAGATACTATTGAAATATTGTCTTGCATGTATACATGAAAAATAAAAAGGGAAAACGAGAATCACTGGGAGTGATGGGGCCGTCTTTAAATATATAGTAGTATTTTTTAAAAAGTACTAAAACTTATATAGAGATAATAGAGAGATAATTTTGTAAATTTATTATTATAAGGAAGTTTACTTAAATTTTAATTTATTTTATTTTATTTACAATATTAAGATTTAGTTTTTTTTTAAATTTTATTTAAAAGTTTGATATTTGAAACCTATTAAGTGATCTTAGTGGTTAAGGGTGAGTGATATTCTTCCTAGAAATCTTGGGTTCGGGCAACTGCTTCTGTAAGGTGTGTATGCCTTGTTAATAACTAAGAAAAATTATGAACATATATTTAGGGTTGGGTATGGGACCCAAAACCGACGGGTTTCCACCCGACCCAATTTGATCGAGTCGGTTTTTTTTATTTTGGGTTTGGGTCAAGTCGGGTTCGAGTTTAGGGTGAAAAATCCCGACCCGACCCGACCAAAAAAATATAATTTTACCTTATACATTTAGGATAATTACAATAGTACTCCTTTATATATAATTTTTCAATTAAATTCCTAGTTTTATTGAATAAAAACAATATTTTGTATTATTTCGAGTCGGGTCGAGTTCGATTTAGGTGGAGGATGTATATTTTTCAGGTCAGGTTAGCCGAAACCCATCCCGTGCCCATCCCTACATATATTATCTTATAATAACCTAAGACCAATTCAAATATATATATATATATATATAATATCTTATCTCACTAGATCAACAAATTATTTATAAATGTTAATAATAAGAGTAATTTGAACCCAAAACTCCCCTAATGGTACAACATTTAATCATTAAACTAGACCATACAATTCAAAATTTAGCTCTAACCTAATTTTAGTTTTTTTTATCTTTTCTCACATCTAACTCATCTACACTCGATTTTAAAAAAAATAACTCTAATAAACTAAATTGAAACCCATCCTATCTAATTTTTTCGTACCCTAAACATGGTCAAGCCATTTAATTTAATCGAAAGTGCAGGTGATTTGCAAACGAATGATTCTCTGATGATTACAATGAGGCGATATTGAATTTTCTCAATAATAAGCAAATCAAATGCAGTTAACTAATTAATTACCAATAGATATATTGAATAAAAAAAAGAGAAACAATGAGTCGTCAACGTGTATCATTGAGAGGTTTTGACAATTTCAAATACACGTTTGGGGAGTAACTAAAGCGAGGAAAGGAACAATAGTTACGTTTGGAGTTTCTTGGGGGGGGGGGGCATCCATTACCCATGACAGCGTCTTACTAGACTACTACCTTTGTAATTAAATAATTTATTAAATATATTAATACTAGTAAATTAATTAATTAAAATTCTAATGTTTGTTGACAGTTTGAAAAACTAATATAACTTAGGATTAACTGTCTAAATGATCCCTGAAGTTTTAGGGCATTTGTATTTTGATCTCTAAATTTTTAAAATTTGTAAAACGATCACTAAATTTTTAATTTGCTTTCATTGTTGTCATTGATGTTAACTACCACTAAGAAATGTTGGTGTTGCATGTTAAAATCATATATTTTAAAAAGATCCTAAGTTCCTAAAAACGGTTGTCATTGACCTCAATTTATTTACACCGTCACCTTTTGATGTTCTTTCGATCGTCGTCTGCACTAAACATGTCAATAACCGCACTCGTGCTACATCATCTCCCCATGATCTTCAAACCATTAATAATATTCATTTCATCCAAGTACCAAACACCACAACCATCATCCTTGTGCATACTAAACATGAGCCACCATCACTAATCTCATTCGATCACCATCCGCAACCACAACCACCAATAATAGTAGACAAATAAAAAAGTAAAGAGAAAAGTAAAACTACCCATCTCAATTTTGGTGAGTATATGATAAGCGGGGTGACTATTTATCAACCCCAGGTGCCTAAAATTGGCTCTAGTAATAAAATGGAAACAAAAGAATGCTAGAGGTGCCTAGCACTGGCTCTAGCATTGAAAAAAAGGAAAAGAATTCTGGAGTTACCTAACACATGCTCTAGCAATAAAAAAAAGTGAGAAAGATGTTGATATAACATTGAAAGTTTAAATAAGTGAGTAGGATCATTTTTCTAATTTAGCTAAGTATTGATCGGATACATCTTCCTTGCACTTTACATCACTCTATGGATTCTGACTTTATTAAGTTGACAATACATTCCTTAATTTGAGATCAATCTATGCTACCCTTTTTAGCAGCAATGAAAAATCCTAAGCACTGAAAAAGTGAGTTAAAAATCTGAGTTGGCTTGACAACATTGTTGTTTAGCATTATTGCATTTCATGAATTGTAGTTGCTTGATGTAACACCCCGGATCTAGGGTTAGGAGTTTTGGGCTAACCTTAGATGGGCCTTGGATTAATTCTTTAGCGTGCAGGAAGACTTGACCCAAGTAAGAGGAATTGGGCTTGGTTTAAGCCCAACAATAAATAAAAAAGGATATTTTTAGTTTGCAGTAAAACATAGAGGGTCCAAGGAAGCAATTTTACCATTGTTTAAATTAAAAATTGAAAATAATTAAAATTAGATGATATCACGTCTGAATCGCTATCCCTCTTTTCCATACCAACTCTTATCTTCTTGTCTTCTCTTCACTTTCTTCCACAAGCCAAGCTAAAATATGGAAACTTTATAGATTTTCAAGTGTTTCAAGGAGAAGTTAAGCTAAGAATCATAATTCGCTCACCTCTAGCTTTATTTCAAGCTCCTAAACACAAGGTTTGACCATGATTTTAGAAAATGGGTTTTGTTAGGGTTTATAAAACCTTTGAGTTTTAATTCGATTTTCATGATTCTTAGATCTTTAGAAGTGTTTTTAAACCTTTCTTAACCCCTAAATTTAGTTGGTAACTATTGCATTGATTCTTATTAGGGAGAGAACTTGAAGAGAGCTCCAAAGCTAGTGGAAGGAAAAACTCACCTTGGGTTGAGCCATTGACACTTCTAGCAACCTAGATACTCAAGTAACTCACTTCTAACTCGACTATACCATGTGTATCTTA